GCAGTTGGCTTGCAAAACTGGGTAACAACAAACCAGACTGCAAAAGCAGTGTCAATACAGGAAGAGTTTGAATGCTAAGTGCTATTCAAAAAGTGTGTAGTCCGAATTTTCAAGCCTCGGAGTTTTGCCTTATTCGTCTCTGTCTGTCAGAACCATGACATTAAACCAAGTCTCTTAAAACTTTAATTTTTTTTCGGGGTGCTGGGCCCCAACAGCCTACCCATCCTTTGGGAGAGCTATGGAGTGCCCAACACCCAGCACCCAGGCCAGAAGCACAGAGGAGGAAGAGAGAAGACAAACTGGGCACCCAGCTGTTGGACACCCCCCTCCTGCCAAGCCCAAGGCGAGAGCCCAGCCAGAGCCATTACAGATGCTGGCGCCCTATGACAGTGATGAAGAAGGCGAGGAGGATCCAATGGTAAGTCAACCCATCCCACCTTTTGCCATCCCTGCCAAGATAATAGTACCCAAAACCAGGGGCCAAATGGACTTAAATGTGTTAATAGTCTCAGGTTGCACTGGGTGCCTAATTAATCTGGTGGGAGAATGGAGTGAGGAATTTAAGATTGGGGATAGGTCCCTTCCTCCCTGCCACCACCAGTGATAGAAAAGACTATAGCATAAATGAGGCTCAGGAGGAACACCCTGAAACATTAAAGGCTGTTGTAGAGAAACTGCCAGGAATCCAGCTAGTCCCAAATGAATACTGCGATTTAGCTGAGGTGTTTAGTGAGAAAGAAGGCGACATCCTCCCCCCTTAGCAGGCTACGGACTGTGCCATCGAAATCTTACCCAGGGCCAAGCTCCCGAAGCCAAAAATGTACCCCATGATGCCCAGAGAGATGAAGGAGTTAAGAGAGTACATTGATAAGAACCTGGTTTGGGGCTTCATCCAACCAGCAAAATCTTGTGTAGCAGCCCTTGTATTGTTCAAAGAAAAGAAAGATGGGTTGCTGAGATCATGCATGGATTTTAAAGGATTGAACGCTGTCAGCCTAGAGAACATGTACCCCCCTTCCCTTAATGAAGGAGATGTTAGCCCACCTGGCAAAGGGGAAAGTTTTTACAAAGTTGGATTTAAGGGAGGCTTAGTACCAAGTCTGTATTAAAGAAGGGAACAAATGGAAAACCAACTTCAATTGCCCCCTTGGAAGCTTTCAATTTAAAGTGATGCCTTTTGGACTACAAGGAGCTCCTGCTGTATTTATGCAGATGCATGATCATCTGTATAAGGGGGTTTTAGTTTATCTTGATGACATTCTCATTTACACTGAGACTATGGAAGAGCACATTAAATTGGTCGTTGGAAGTGCTGAGGAAGCTGCTGAAGGCTAAACTCTATGCCAGTGGTTCTCAACCTTTTTAATGCCGCAACCCCAACCGGTTGTAAGTCGAGGACTAAACCGGTCGTAAGTCGAGGACTAAACCGGTCGTAAGTCGAGGACTAAACCGGTCGTAAGTCGAGGACTACCCAACCGGTCGTAAGTCAAGGACTTTCCCTGCCCGGGAGCGCCGCGCATGCGTGGTTCCGCCCCCTGCGTTGACCGAGGCGTAGCTGGCAAGCGGCAGAGACGGAGCAGGCCAACCACCAGCTGGCCCAGCCCAAGGGAGGTAAGGCACCCGCCGGAAAAGGGGGGGAAAATGGCGGTCAAAAAAATGGCGGACAAAAAAAATGGTGGACAGCCTTGCTTGGCGACCCCCATGAAATGGTCGATCGACCCCAAATGGGGTCCCGACCCACAGGTTGAGAACCACTGCTCTATGCAAAGCTTTCTAAATGTGAGTTTCACCAGACACTCCTTGTCATGTTATCAACCAAATGTCATTATTTCATGCCCTCCAATACCCAATGCAATAGCAAGTTACATTAGTTGTGTGATATTGTCATGCATGTTGTCATTCCCATACCTTTCTTGCATGTGCTGTAGCTCCCATGGTAGGTGCCCTTGATTCTGAAAGGTTATGTAACCTTGAAGTAGTTGGTCTTGCCCTAATTGTATTGTTCCTTTTCAACTGGTGAGGGGGTTTGTTGGATTTTGATATCTTTCTTGGTTCTACAGTAATAGTATGTTGTATTGGCTGGGATTAGGCACTCGAAGGTTCAAACCCAGCCCACAAGAAACTTTAGTCACAAATCATGTGATCTGATGGCACATAATTAATCAGCAAAGAATATTCATTGTGACACTCTATGGAAAAGAAGGTTAAATTTTGAAGAAGCAGGATATAATGATGCTTTTGAAAGTTGGTGTTGAAGAAGATTCCTGAGAATACTGTGGACAGTCAAGAAAACGAATGGATCATTGAAGAAATCAATCCAGAGTTCCCACTCAAGGCACAAATGGCCAGACTCAAATCATTATATTTTGAACACATTATCCAAACAACTTTGGAGAAATCTCTAATGCTAGGAAAAGATAGAAGGAAAGAGAAGAAGAGAAGAGCACGAGGACCAATAGGTCCTTGATGGGCATTACAGTGATATTGGATACATCATTGGAAGACCTGAAGGTCAAGTTAGGGATAAATCTTCATGGGAAAAAGATCTATGTGATCACTAAGATTCAACACCAACTTGACAGTACATAAGAAATAAGTTCTTTTGGACCACTAGGCCCCAAGGTCAGCTGCCTAGGAAGTAGCCAGAGTGTGAACCAAACAAGATCCTTGCAGCAGTTGAAATTTCAATCAGTCATGTGCATACTTTATACCAGAAATTTCAATCAGTCATGTGCATACTTTAGACTTTATTTCTATATTACTGTTGGGATTGTATTTCATCCAACATCAACTGCCTGTCTCTCTATTTTTGCCACAACTGAAAGGCAGATGGTTTTCTTTCAGGAAGCTAAAAGTGACCTGTTTGGAGCTTGGTGACTTATTATCCCATATAAACACTACACATAGTGACTGAGTTCATACATCATGCTTAGCCATGGATGCCCCTAATTGAAGAAGGCCCCAAACATAGTTTATATAGCAGGATCCAATCTGAGTCTGTCACCGGGACCAGAAGTTTGTTCTTCCAAGCTTTCGGACTCATTCTGGAGTCTATCCTCAGGGAGTCTATCCTCAATCTCCAGGATGTGGAGATCCACACCCACTGGTCCTGGTGACCGACTCAGATTGGATCCTGCAACATTATCCTGGGACACGTAACATTTGCCTTCCTTCGTTCAATAGTTTATATATACTCCGGCGCAAAGCCAAAATAGAGCTTAGCGCATGTACCAACCCTGTAGTTACACGGGGTGGATGCGGACGTCGGCAGGGGAAACCTCCAGAGCGGTTCTCCTGCTAAGGCTAACCAGTGTTTCTCAACCTTGACAATTTTAAGGCATGTGGACTTCAACTCCCAGAATTCCACAGCCAGCATTGCTGGCTGTGGAATTCTGGGAGTTGAAGTCCACATGCCTTAAAATTGTCAAGGTTGAGAAACACTGTGCTAAGCGGAGCCCTTAACATCGCGGGCATCTCCCGAGCCGCATCTCGCTCTGCAGCCGCCACTGTTAAGAAAGTGGAGCGAGAGGGGCCAAAAAGTCACCTGCGAAGGGGGGTCGATTCCTTCTCAGTTTTCCAGGCACGCTACCGAAGTAGCCTGACGCTTTCCCCCGTCTACTCTGCTATGCAAGCTGGCCTTCGCAGACGGGGGCCCATTTAACTACCGGCAGCAGATCTAGCCCGGCTTGGCTTGCTGCCCCTTCGAAAATAAACGAGCCTCGGCCGCGCCGCACGCCAGAGGCTCGACTACCACGGCTGCGTTAGATGAACTTTGAAGCCGGGCCTTCCCGGGGCTCTTGGAAGGGCGAGCCCGCGTCTTAATAACGCGCCTCTCGCCCCGATCTCTGGCCTGTTGCAGGAGCCGAGCCCTCCAACTCCTCCCCCGAGCTAGCTACCCCGGAGACAAGATCCAGGCTAGGCCGCCGCCATCTCCGATCTTCCCCGAAGCAGCAACCACCTCGCCGCCTTTGCCAGCCTTGTCTGCGGCTGGGCGGAGCCCGTGTCGGCGGCGGAGGATGCCCGCTGGTGGGCGCTCTCCCCGCCCACGCCAGGGCGCCGAAATAGCTCCAACCTTCGCTTGGTGGGCGGAGCTGCGAAGCTGGCTTTTAAACGGAGGAAGCGCAGCCCTTCCGCTTCTCCGAAGGTCGGAGCTGGAAGTTTTGGGCGCCGTCTGAGCTTTTGGGTATTTGAGCATCCCGGTTCGTGCTGCGGTTTGTCGGGTGACTGTCTCATAGGTTGGATTGGGTCATGCCAGCTCCCGCTCTTGACCCTGGCTTGGACTTGGTATTCCTGGGGGTCAGGGTTCGCACGACACGCGGACCCACAGTGTAGCCGATCGCGCGTTAACGCCGCGGTTGTGTGAATGCAAACCAGCGTCGTGGATTTCGCTCGCCGAGAAAACCACGGTGGGTGAGGAGTTCGAGAGAAGCAGTCCTGGCAAATCTGTCAGATCGTTTCGAGGTGGGGAAGGAAAACAAAGAATTTAGGAAAGCTCTTTAAGACTTTTGCAAAGTTGCCTAAGTTATTTCATGCTGCAAAACCTAAATGGGAACATTATTAACTTATGAATTTACAACTCTCCCGTTTTCTCAAAGACAGCAGCTATAGTCCTTGGGGAAAATTAATGTGAATGTATTTCTTCTGCAAGCCAGGTGATGCTCCGTATTCCCTCTTAGAGGTGTTATCTGTAGATTTTTCTAAAGTATATTCTTCTTATCCTGGCTTCCCTTTGTGAAGCTGCGTAGCATTCAAAGAAAAGCTTAGGGTTTTACTGCTTTGTGGCTCAGTATGAGTTTGGATAAGGGGTTTTGTTTTCCGCAGTTGTTTATGCATCCTGCACATCCTATCCACAGGCAAACAGGGAAGCCCTTTTTTTCTAAGAGTTGTTGCAACAGATGTAGCTTGAAGTATGGGTTGGTGTCTAACGCTATTTGGAATTAAAACTGTGCTATTTTAACTAAAATGCCTAAAAGAAAAAAAATCTTCCCTTTAGCCCAGGATTATATCCAAAAAAATGGAATCTCTCTATCGCTCCTTACTGGTGCCCACTCGCATAATGCTGAAGGCCTCCAACATTGTGATGCAGTTGACCTTGTATGGTGCTGGTTGTATTGCTGCTCTTTTCTACTTTGTGTGGGTGTTCAGGCTGATACTTACTAAAGGCCCAAAACGGGTGTTCCAGAAGATTCAGAGGCTCCCACCAAAAATCCTCACTGATTCCTGTTATGGTGAACACAAGTATCTGACCCTCAAGGTGAGTCTGCTTAAGGTAAAGGTAGAGTTCCTCACTGAGATCATATTAATCAAAGTTCACTTTAGATGTGAAGATAAGATCTTGGAGCATAGTGCTACAAATATATTTGAAAGGCGGGGAGGGGCGTGCCTTAAACCTTGATTACCTGCCTGTTTAGCATAATAATTTCTGTTCTAAATAGCAGCTGATTTCAAGAACTCAGGAAGAGACTTTGTCATCACTCCTTACCCAGTTTCTACTGTAGTTCAAATCTCTGCAGGAAAAAATGTGCTTTCTCACATGATCCTTGGATAACAGTGTGTTATTTACCTCTGTTTCTGTCTTGGTACATTTGAGAAGTCAGGAATACGGCTCCACTACGTTGTAGCTGGCGAAGAAGGGGCTTGCCTGATGCTTTTTTTGCATGGATTTCCCCAGAGCTGGTAAGTCTTGCTTTGGCATGTGGTTGTAGAACATGAGATTGTGCAGACAGTTTTAAACTGAGGATTGGCATAAGTTAAGAGCCCAGTGTGCAGGAATCCAAAATTGCAATCAACTTGAATTTGGACGATAGTGAACCTCAAATTTAGATTGAGCACATGGTAAGGCGGACACACGTCTGTACTCGGGAAATGAATTTCTGCAATAAGTGTGTAATCATGTCCATAGCCAGAAAAAAAGTCAAAAGATACCATGCATATGGCATATTACCAATGTAGGAGAGATACGTGACCTAACTGGGAACAGGAAATTACCCAGAGAGAGATGATATTCAGCTAGTTGGAATTACATTCCTAAAATTCACTGACATTGTCAGACATTCAATTTTAATTACAACCGCAAAATACACCATTTATTTAGTGTTAGTTACATGTCAAATGAAATGCAAAATATATGCCCGGTGGAATATATAATTCCTAATCAAGTGAACTGGGTGGTGGTGGTGGTCAATATGAATGACAACTTAAATCTAAGAAAATATGCAAGGGCGCCTTTCGCTGTCCTTTTTTCTTACCTCTGTTTGGTTTGGGTGTATATTATGCAGGTTTTCGTGGCGCCATCAGCTGAAGGAGTTCAGTCAAGCCTTTAAGGTGGTGGCACTTGATATGAAAGGCTATGGCCTTTCTGATGCACCACTGGCTTGGGAGTGCTATCAAAGGGATGTTATTCTAGAAGACATACAAGGTGTTATCCAAGCCCTGGGCTCCAATGGAAAAGATGGTGAGTTCGGGAAGAGGTTGTTCTTTTTTTCCTAGCTGGAGAATCTGATCTGCTATAATAGTGGCTATTACCTGGAAACTTCCTGTTCATGGGTGTGGGGCCAGTGGGAGTGGGAAGGGCACACCTGCTGTTGCTTACCTGGCTACGTTTTCAAAAATATTTCAAGAATGCTTCAGGCAGCTAATGTTTGTTCAGGCTTTCTTTCCTCCTGGAAGTTTTTCTCTTTTGTTCTTTAGGGGATCCCAAGTGCATCCTGGTAGGTCATAATTGGGGAGCAGCAATTGCGTGTGAATTTGCTGCCAATTACCCTAACATGGTGGAGAAGCTGATTTTTATGAATGGCATTCCAGCACATGTTCTCTTTGGTAAGGCTAATGTTCTTCTGAGTCTTTGGGGTCTCCATAAGGGATTCCTTATAGAGGGTTCAGTGGCCACTGAAATTGTATAGTGAGCGGCTGTGGGATCTGGCTGGACTATTCCACCACAGGACTATTTGTAGAGAAAGGAGTCCTTTTCTGAATCGGGTATTCTGTCTCAGTAAGCTAGAGCTGAGCCACCTGAGAGCCCAGACCAGGGGTAGGCAACCTTGGCTCTTTTATGACTCGTGGACTTCAACTCCCAGAATTCCTGAGCCAGCATGGCTGGCTCAGGAATTCTGGGAGTTGAAGTCCACGAGTCATAAAAGAGCCAAGGTTGCCTACCCCTGGCCCAGACCAACCTCTTTGTCATTTCTAGAGAGGTCTCTGGTGCAAATTACTAAAATGCACAGGATGAGTGTGGCACATTTACATGTGAGAAAGTAGCTGTGGCTCAGAGATAATAGGCACCTACAGATACAGATATTGGTTCACGTTGGCAGCTGGGCGTGAGGGATTTGAGACGATGCTAAGGGGAAAACCTTGTTTAGAATGAGAATAAATGCCAAGGGGAAGTGAAGTAGGGGCCAAATAGCAATGCCAGTGCAGGCCAGGAAAAAAAAAGACTCTATGGATGATCCAAAGCAGGAAATGGGGAATGGTACCTTATGCATAGCTATTTCACCAAAGGAGAAGCCCCAAGGTTGTCTGAAGGGGCATCATAATGTGGACCCCGGGACCCTGAGGATATTTTGCTTGCTAAGTGAGCACTCATTAGGACTGCTGGAGGGAGGGCTGCTGGAGGGAGCATAAGGCAGCATGAATTAAACTCAAGTGGGTAGTGCTCTCCCTCCCCATGAATGTATGGGTTGCTAAAGTTCTGGCTTTCCTCTAAATCAAACATGTCAAACACAAGGCCCGGGGGCCGGATGCGGCCCGTGAAGTGGTTTCATGTGGCCCGCGAAGCCATCCTGGAAACAGTGAGGGAACAGCCCCCGCTGCCTTGGCCCTGGCCCAGGCCTGCCGGGAGCCAATGTACAATTTTGTGGTGGCCATCTTGGCACTTGCCCCGGTGGACCATGCCTTGGCACTTGCCCCGGTCCCACCCCCTTCTGCCAGAGACCCTCAGATCTGTCCCACTCCTGCCCAGGCCCCCATGGGCATCCTTGACGCGAATGATGTAAAACTGGCCACGCCCACCCAGTAGGCCATACCTACTCCATCCACGCCCACCCAGTAGGCTGCACCCACTCTAGCCACAACCACCCGCCCCCCCAAGGGCAACCGCAATGCTGATGCGGCCCTCAGTGAAATTGAGTTTGACACCCCTGCTCTAAATTGTTTGGAAACCCTTCACAGGACCTCAGGGTAGTCCCTCTGAGTCTGTAAATGAAGCTTTCCATCCCATTCGGGAATGCCAAATCTTTCTTGGTAAAGAACTTGGAGTAAGAAGAGGGAGGAGGGTTTGAGGTTTGCTGACATTCATCTCCAGCAATGGGTTTTTATAGAATAAGCCCTAAAATAGGATGGGCCTGCTTAAAATGATGAAAGTTCTTCTATACCAAAAAAAAGAGAGAGAACTTAAAAAAAGGATGAAAACTGTATTATAACTGTGGGTGTAATACAGCCCTTCCCTCTTGAAAGTGGCCTGTACTTCTTCAACATCCAATTGTGTTGCTGGGCGTGAAAAAGGGTTCTGGGTTTTGATGGAAGCTTCAATTGCCTAGCACACTGGCCCAGAATCCATTTAAAATATCAGCTGTTTCTCTTGCTTGGGCTGGCAGCTGATCCAGATGCTAGGAATAGCAGTCCAAATGGAATATTTGAACCCAACTATTTTGAAATTGTTTGTCTAAAGAGGGCTTCAAGACAGACATAATCTGAAAATTTGCTTAAATAACCCCAATGAGACTTCTTAGCGCTTCAAGGTGGCCTTTTTAAGATGTTTCATATACATTAAGCATTGCTTGTTTGTCTCAATTTATTTTCCTTTTCAATCTTGCAGAGTATCTCCTCAAAAATCTCACCCAAATTATTAAATCCATGTACGTATTCCTGTTCCAACTACCAAAGATACCGGAGTGGCTATGCTCCTTGGATGACTTCCATGTGAGTAAAGATTAAGAAACAGCCTGAAAGGTTGTAGCCTCTTGTTTTAGGAGAGTAAGCTTAAATTAATTATATAGTCATTCCTGGAAGGAACTGTAGATAATTTCTTTAAGCTTGAGTTTGTCATAGTGGATTGGTGGTAGCTTTCTTCTTTGGTTCCTCTGCCAGGTTTCCTGGTTTTATCTGAACCCTTTGGTGCTTTCTGCTTTTCTTCAAAAAAATTCAGATTTTTTCCCTCCATGGTGCTTCCTGTGAAGCTGTTCTATTTTTTTTTCAGTTTGTCTCCACAGAACAGACAAGAGTGGGATGAGGAGAGGATGTTTCAGTGGTAAATGAACTCCATGGAATGTGAGGCAAAGGTGAATTTGTTTCATGGAGGACTTGGGGATAAACAAAGGACAGCTCTAATTACCTGAAAGATGTTATGAAATGCTTAAGTTTTGATATGTTTAGAAAGAGGAGGAGGAGTCTGCTGTATATTTTCCTGCCTAGAGCTATGTTGCTCTGGTCCTCGGTAGTCTTTCCAAACCCAACAGAGTGTTGGGAAGAAGCTATCTAGAGGAGCTTGGGAGCCTGCCTGTCCATCGCTCAGCAGGATGACTCTAGTCTAGAAACTGAACAGGATGGGACCAGGTTGGATGGGGCCAGAGAAAGGGAGAAGCTGGCACAAGGAAAATTGAGTTCAAAAATTGGGATGATTCAGCTGTAGAGAAAAAAACATCCCCATCCTGTTGATTGCTCCATGCTAAGCCCCTTTGGTTGATCCTTGCTGGTCATGCAACCCACTGAAGAGGGTATGTAGCTTGGTGCTTCCCAGTGTACAAATACGTGCAGGTAGTACAGGAGGGGAAGGCAGAAATGCAAATAATTGCTTTTATAATAGTTTTACTTCACAGAAGCCTGTAGCTGCTGTGGGTAGAAGGCTTAGAAGAGTTCTAGAAGGAAGGCTCTGCATTCTTTCCTTGCTTTGTTGAGTGTCAAGAAATCTTTAGTTGCAGCCAACATATCCATACTTCTGGGTGAAGTCACAGAGGCAAAACAGTGAAGCAACTTTGTCAGGTATCCAGTCCCTTTAAACCAGAATCCAGGAAGATGAACACACCAGACAAATTCATATTACTTCAAGAGATCCAGTGGGGTGTAATCATGAAGGTGTTGGACATGGGCTGGTGGAAGTCCCAGGTTCAGATCTACAGTATTTTCAGTCATAGAAGCTCACTTTGGAGCAGTCACTGTCTCTCAGTTAAACTACCTCATGGGACAAATGGATGTGCAAATGCTTCATACATTCCCTGAAGAAAGGAAAAGGGGCTATACATGTTACACACAAATGTTTAAACTCTCATAAGCATTTTCCACAGTTTGCTCTGTCTCAAAAGACCCTGTGTTATACAAGAGAGGCATGTGTCTCACCTGTGTCTACATTTCCGTCTTATTTCTAGATAATAAAAGTGGCCACAACAAGTGAGAAGACAAGAATCCAGGACGCTAATTCACAGCAGAGGAATTGCAACCCCACTTTGTATTATTTCTCAAGGCCTAATGCCTTAACTCCACCCATTAACTACTACAGGAATATTCTCAGGTGGGAGAACACTCCACCTGGGCTCTGGTCTTGGGTTGTATCAGCATTTTTTTCCTTCCCTGGGGATTGCCTGAACTGAAACCCAAATGTCTTTTAATATGTCAGGCCAGAGAATGAGAAAATCCTGTGAGCTTTCTGAAAGGCAGTCTGACAGATCTTTGTTTCTAATAAAATTGGGAGATATTGGTGGGAGATTGATGCTAAAGTACACATTCTGGTGAGAGACAAGTTCCCTGAGGATGGGCTCCAGAACAAGTCCAAAAACTCGGAAGACCGACCCAGATTGGATCCTGCAACCGTATCTTGGGAGACGTATATTTGCCTTCATTCGTGATGCTAAAATATGAACATGTCTTTAACTAATCCTTCTAGTTTCTTCCTAGTAATTGGTGTGAATGAAACCTCGGGGGGGGGGGGAGAAATAGCAGGAAGGATTTTAGCATGTTAAAGTAGCAAGCTATTAGTTACCCAGTGCTCATTTTAACATTTATCAACATGTGTCTGCCTTTACAGCTGGATACCACCAAAGCGCAGAGATATTTTGGTGCCCACTCTGCTGCTTTGGGGACAGAAGGATGCATACTTGGAAGACGGGCTGGTGAATCAGGTACTGCCCTATCTCCAAGGCAGCTACCATGTACATTTCTTCCCAGACGGGAGCCACTGGATACCTGAGGAACAGCCTGAAAAGGTCAATCAAGTGATATGGGATTTCCTTCAAGGGAAGAAAAGTGAGAAAGAGTAACTGTTGTGTAAAGTAAAGGCATCCGTACTACTTGGCATGAAGAAATAGTAGCAACTTGGCCTGGCTCTGGATTTCCGATCCTTGTTTTTGTGTGCATTATATTGGAATCCAAGTCTCAGGTAGCATTAATGGGAATTTCCCCAGGCTCCACTTCCTTTTTGCACAGCCATAAGGATTAAAATCGAATAGAAAATCAAGTCTCAGCTATATTTGTTGATGTGCCTTGCTGCGGTCAAGTCCTGGGCTGTTCCTTACTGCATAAGATCGAAAGACAAAAAGTTGTTGGCTTGAATCATATTGAAATCAAAGTTCTCATGACGAAGTCAGCCTCTTGTTGAACTATGAACCTGGGATGTGCTATCAATGCCTCATGAAGAATTTGCTTCCTGACCCATGAAGGACTTGGAGGAATGACTGTGCTGGCAGATATCCTTCAATTACCTGGGAGATGATTTGCAAAAATATTGGATACTTCATTACTCTAAAGAGAGAAAGAACAAAGACTGCTTCTGTAGCAGGACATGTCAAATGTACTGTATATACCAGTGATGGCGAACCTTTTAGAGACCGAGTGCCCAAACTGCAACCCAAAACCCACTTATGTATCGTCGGTTGCCGGGTGGGCGTGGCCCATTGAGTGGGTGTGGCTGTGGTGGTAATGGCAGACTGGGTGGGACTAAAAAGTTCAATCAATCAATTCCAACTTTGCACGATCTTTTTTCCCCCCACAAGTTGAAATTGACTGATTGATTGAACCTTTTTTTGTTTTGCACATGGCGGTGGAGGCCTAAAGTGAAAAGGTTTTATAAAACCCAGCGGAAGGCCTAAGACTGGGGCGACAGTGCGCATGCCCACAGAGAGGGCTCTGAGTGCCGCCTCTGGCACCCGTGCCATAGGTTCACCACCACTGGTATATACGATACATTGGAAAAAAAGAGATTATTCAGCATGTAAAAGGTTGATGCTGTGTGTAATTTAATATAACATAAGTGCTCCTGGTGCAAGATTTGGGTGATATAATTGTTGACAAACCTGCAGTTGTGATAAAAGATTTTTGGGTCGTAGATTTCATTTATCCTCATATTTTGGACCCGATATCCGAAAGGTTGAGTTGATAAATTAGATCAGCAGGCTCTAGTGCAGGGCTGAGTCTGGAGAATGCAAGGTTGGAAGCCACACTCTTTCTTTCCCAGAAGCCTTTGGGATTGACACATACTAGTTCCATGTTGTGGCTTAGTAGCTCTTGCTGCTGGCCCTGTTTTTTAGGGAGTGCCTTGCTTGGCACTTCTCCCTTGTCACAGCATGTAAGACAGTGTTTCTCAACCTTGGCAACTTGAAGAGGTATGGACTTCAATTCCCAGAATTCCCCAGCCAGCACAGCTGGCTGGGGAATTCTGGGAGTTGAAGTCCATACCTCTTCAAGTTGCCAAGGTTGAGAAACACTGATGTAAGAGAAGGCACACATAGCCTATGTGCCTTCCTTATGGTGCCACCTGCTGACATACTGTAGGCAGTGCAGACGGCGGAGGATATCATGAGCACTTCTTGGATGGGTTGATAGACCAATGGCACAAGAAATAGACTTAATCGTTTAAAAAAAAGGAAAAAAGAACATGTAACAACCCTCTTCAGCTTTAAGCAATTGCATGTAAAGCATTAAGTGAGATAATGGCAATATAATGTTCAAATCACAAAGTGCAACTTAAAAGAATCTCACTTAGAAGAACAGCAAAGGAAAGTAATAGGCTCCAGGGCAAACCGAAGTTGATCCCCCTTAAGTTAGAGGAGCTGTGCTGGAAAGAAAGGCCATGTTGCATAACAGACGCAATTTGCACACAATATATAGAGAATATAAATGCCAGAGACAATAAGGCGTAAAGAGCAAAGCCTTTTTTTATTATTATTATATATATTTGCCGCCTGTCTCACTGAGAGGCGACTCTAGGTAACTTACAATTAAAAAGGAAGAAATGAAGAGTGTAAACAAAATGGAAGTAAAATAATAGAATAAAAAAATAAACAGCAAAAAAGAAAACAGAGAAAACAGCAATTGGATAACAAAAAGATGGGTGGGTGGAAAGCACAGAGCAAGTGGGGGGGGCAGGTGGAGTCTGCCGTCAATCCAGCAGCCACCTCTAGTGTGGAACTCTCCTGTTTGGTCCCCAGGCCAGGTCTTAAGGCTCCTGCAGATGGATATGAGGGTGGGGGGAGATCTTACCGTATAGGGTAAGGTATTCCGAAGGGTGGGTGCTGCAGCAGAGAAGACTCTTCTTCTGGATCCCAATAGTTGGAGTTCTTTGACGACAAGATCCATAGTAGGCTCTCTCTGCTGGCACTAGTAGGATGGGCTTGTCCTGATGCCATGGGGTAGCCTGGACCAATGCCGTTAAGGGCTTTAAAAATCATAACCAGCACCTTGAATTGCATTCAATAGCAGACTGGAAGCCAGGTATAATATGGGCCATCCCAGGGGTCCCAAAGACTTGTTCTTGTTGCCACACATTTTTCTTTTACCACCCTTGTTTGGCTTTTTATTTTTGTAAAGCAATAGGTATTGCCACTGAGTGTTTTTTTATATTTTATATTTATATTTATGTTCGTCCTCCTTTCCAATTGTCCATGTCCTCTTTTGCCTGTTCAGCTATCTGGTCTTCTTACCCTCAGTTGCAGGGGCAAGAGATAACACCTGGGATAGAAATCAAGCACGTCCCATATATATGGGCAAAAAGGGGTCTTTCCCAAGCAATTGGCCTCCTACAAACCCTTTTGCCTTCCCCCCCCCCCCGCTTCTCTGAAGAAGTAACAGCCTGATCATACAATCAGGAAGGATCTAATTATGCAGAATTCCGTGTCAAACCATCCTTTGAGACTCCTAATATGCACCTTTTAATCCGGGACTCTGTCCTCACTTTGAAAAGAGCACTGACAGGGCCAAGGACAAGTCAGAACCCTGGGAATTAGTTAGAAGAGGACTGCTCAGGAGGGACTATTGCCAAAGGCTCCCTGGAGGGGGTGAAGAAGCAGGGGCAGCTCTACCTCTCTATATAAATATGACAGTCAAAAATGATGCCCTCATTCCAAGGAGCCAGGCCAGAGGGTGCTGTGGATTAAACTCCTGGAAGGCTGGCTCCAAACCAACGAGCCTTATCTTTGCTTGCCTGGCCCTCTGCCAGCCCCCTTCCCCCAGTTTGTTCCACTGTGGGAATGCTCTTCCTCAGGCACCAGAAATGAGAGCCTAGCTTTAGGAATGGATCACTTAGGCCTGATCCTATATGAGAGAAGCCCCCCTCCCTCTTAAACTGAAAAAGGTGAGTAACTTGGTTTGGGTGAGGCACAACAGTTACCCAGAGGCCTAGATCTGTGGAAGAGCTTCAGAATGAGAGAAATGTGTTGTCTGCGTAAGGTTTTTTGTTTCAATTCAAGACATTAAATGCAGGAATCAGCCTGGTTTCAGGGTGGAGACCAGAGGAAAATGCAGTTTAGCTTTAATTGCATTAATAACAATATCTGAGCTTGTGTTGTATTGTAAGTATATACAGTATGTGGTATAAGACAAAGAGATTGGAGAGAGAAGCTAGGAGCACAGAAGAAAAAAAAGGGGGAAGAGAATTGTGGTGAAAGTGACTTTTCCAAGTTGATATTTCAAAAACTACGGATAATATAGTGTGTACAGATAACATCTCTACAGGGATTCATGAAGCAGCTGTGCACACTCAATACAGAGACAATGGGGGACAGCCTGTGAAGCAGTTGCTTGGAATTTCCAAAGTTTTTTCTTTTGCAGATCTCTTCAACTCTCAAAAAATGGTAGTATCTGCCCCCTACAAATGTTGCTGACTTTCAGTTGTTATTAGTGCCAATCAACAGGGCCAACACTTGGAGATGCAGGATCTACCCCACAGATGAAGGAACGTTTAGAGGTTAAATCCTAGGATATGTGTCCCTCCCTTCCAAGCTTCTTTGAATGACTGAGGATCTTCTAGAGTCAAATGGGATATTAGATGTGTTATCAACTAAATTTGAGGGAACAGCAACCTCTAAGACTTTGTCCACATTGCTCAAAAGGACAATATGAGCATCTTACATAAACATAGCTATTAATGTTTAGTGTTGGGATACCTGGTCAATAATGCTTTATTATGTACCATAATAATGTAGATTATCGCTTAGCATGATATAGAATCCAAGCTTGTGCCTAAAATCCTAGGAAACCATATTCTTCCCAAGGCTAGGGAGCCATTTAAAATGTGTACAAAAACAAGAGATAAAAAGTAACTGCCTCTATTGATACATTGCCCTCAAAGTTTTCCTGTTAACTCAGGACTTGGTCCAAATACAGAAATTCAAGGAAAATTGTCTTTAAGACAAGAAACAGCAGTTGGAAAGGGTAGGTATCTTGAAGAAAGTAATATAACAAAATGAGTACACAGTCATGTTTCCTGAACTAGGGACACACATATCTGGGCTGTTCAAACTCCAGACAACTATGAAATGATAGCAAAGAATTTGTTCTTTACATATCTGTTATGTTCTTTGGTTACAAACATCTAAAAAACTCAAGGCTTTTGCAACCATGATATGGTAACACCATTCTGAACTAATTAACCAAGACTAGTGCAATTCAGTTCACGTAGAATTCAAAGTGTACAGAAATTGGGCTGAGTGCTTCATGGTTAAATCAGCCATGGTTAATGACAAGCAAACAACCGGTTTCTATCTTTTACTTTCACTACAGCTATTTTGCTGAATAAAAGGTTTTTTTTCTCATGGGCACATTATATCATTTATTGAATGGTAACACAAAAGTGAATCAACACTGTTGTTTTTTTATTTCCCAATTTAGTCTAGAGATCTGGTAAGTCTTGGTGGTCTCCAATTCCTGTATTAAGCCAATTTGACCCTAGCTAGCTTTTGGAGGTCAGTCAAGATCAGTTTACCAACAATGGTGTTTGGCTGGACAATGATACATTGTGTCCACTAGAGGGAGCACTTACCTCAGAATTAGCTAAATAAATAACCACACAGAATTAGATAGGAAATAATCTGCTTTATTCAACTTTATATTATATTTTGAAATCCAGAAATAAGTATTAAATGTTTCCTTTTGGAAGCAGTATACGAAGATTAAGGTCTTATCATTCTAAACTGTGTTATTCTCCCAATGAAAACTTTTAAACAAGAAATACAAATAAAATATGCAAAACAAAAATAAAAACAATCTCTTAAATAGTATGAATAAATTTATCTTAACAGTTACCTATACCAGATTACCTAAGTGACAGTAAAGCTTTATATCAATATCTACATCTATCAATCTATATATGTTTATCCCAAAACTGTTGAATAGATACAATTTTAATATCTTTATCTTCAATAAAGGACTTCAATAAAGTCCCCTGAAACACCCGCTCAAGTGAATTTTGACATCAGCATTGTGTCATGGAAAAGGGTATGTTTTATTATATTACTTAGTATTTTTCTTTCCTAATTGGCCGTC